TCCTGGTTCGAATCCAGGCTCTGTCGTAGCCGGCCGCGACCGGGAGACCTATGGGGCGGCGCACAATTGGCCCAGCGTCATCCAGGGTAGGGGAGGGAATGGCCGGCAGGGGATGTAGCTCAGTTGGTAGAGCATGGCGTTTGCAACGCCAGGGTTGTGGGTTCGATTCCCATGGGGGGTATGCACTCGCTGACTGTGAGTGGCTCTGGATAAGAGCGTCTGCTAAATGATTTACATGTAAATAGGCCCTACAGAACCCGGTCTAACGTTATGCACTATAAAGAGAATAGGGTGCCTTTTGGGGACGCAGACTAGGTCTCCGACGCTAGCAAATGTTCTCATGCAGGAAACAATAATAACACAGGAAGTAGGACTCTGGTGTTGTGGAGAGGGACGAGCTGTGTTCTGTATGAGGGCAGCATTCATTCATCCCTTCTTGCACTGTAACTACAGTTGTTGTTCAATCTTAAGCTCCAATACTACAACAAGAATCCCACATGCTTGTACTTTCTGTTCTTCTCAGCACCACACAAAATACTGTTTTTTCCGGACCTCAAATAGAATTATCTGGTTTGTTAAAAGAATGTTCATTGTGTTGTAAACACTTCCAACTTCCTGTTCCAGTTCTGTTCCTTCCCTGGTCCTGACTCCGGGGTCTCAGGAAGAGCTGGATGTAAAAATGGCAGTGCTGTACTGTAAATAGCCTCACTGTGTGTTGGAGGACAGGAAGTTACCTTCACGGTTGTTGTTGTGGTTCAATGTTCTCTACAGAATTAATGACCATTGTATATTGTGTAGTGTATATTTAGGACAATTACACATGTTATGTCATGTGGTGGAAAAGGCAGGTAATCTAAGAATATTTTGAATGTTTTGTGACAACAACATTGAATGCACATGTAATTGACAACCTCAGATACATCCTAGGGAAAGACTGTTAAGGTTGGTAGCTAAAATAGTGACTGCTCCATACATTATCTTCCATAGGCTTCAGCTGGATTGCCGGTGTTTCCATAAATTTGAAGCCAAAACCAAAGAAAGATCCAGAGCCCTAAAAACCATAGAAAGATCCAGAACTTGAGCCCTAGCTTGATCTGAATCTGATTGTTTGGATCCATGGTGATGGGTGGGGAAGGCTGGCTGGAATATCCATGTTACTGGGTGGGGAAGGCTGGCTGGATTATCCATGTTACTGGGTGGGGAAGGCTGGCTGGAATATCCATGTTACTGGGTGGGGAAGGCTGGCTGGAATATCCATGTTACTGGGTGGGGAAGGCTGGCTGGAATATCCATGTTACTGGGTGGGGAAGGCTGGCTGGAATATCCATGTTACTGGGTGGGGAAGGCTGGCTGGAATATCCATGTTACTGGGTGGGGAAGGCTGGCTGGAATATCCATGTACTGGGTGGGGAAGACTGGCTGGAATATCCATGTTACTGGGTGGGGAAGGCTGGCTGGAATATCCATGTTACTGGGTGGGGAAGGCTGGCTGGAATATCCATGTTACTGGGTGGGGAAGACTGGCTGGAATATCCATGTACTGGGTGGGGAAGACTGGTTGGAATATCCATGTTGCTGGGTGGGGAAGGCTGGCTGGAAGATCCATGTTGCTGGGTGGGGAAGGCTGGCTGGAATATCCATGTTGCTGGGTGGGGAAGGCTGGCTGGAATATCCATGTTGTTGGGTGGGGAAGGCTGGTTGGAAGGCTGGAAGAGCTCCATGTTGCTGGGTGAGGAAGGCTGGCTTGAAGGCTGGATGTGTTGTTGGCAAGTTCAGTCAGATTCTCTCTGCTGTCTCATGTTATTTTTCCGCTGGCCGGCGTCACCACTGGAAACTGGGAACAACTCAGTCACCACAGGAAACAACTTTCTGGGCAACTCTTCACACAAATAAGTTATAAATATAGCAACTAGCTAATACGTTATAAGGGTCTTTCTATAAACTAGGGTACCAGTGAGGATTTCCTCCACTGGACAACTTGTTTTTTATTTTTTATTTTATTTTATTTAACCTTTATTTAACCAGGTAAGCCAGTTGAGAACAAGTTCTCATTTACAACTGCAACCTGGCCAAGATAAAGCAAAGCAGTGCGATAAAAACAACAACACAGAGTTACATATGGGGTAAAAATACAACAGAAAATATAAATACAGTGTGTGCAAATGTAGCAAGTTATGGAGGTAAGGCAATAAATATTCTATAGTGCAAAATAATTACAATTAGTATTAACACTGGAATGCTAGATGTGCAAGAGATTTTGTGCAAATAGAGATACTGGGGTGCAAAAGAACAAAATAAATAACAATATAGGGATGAGGTAGTTGGGTGGGCTAATTTCAGATGGGCTGTGTACAGGTGCAGTGATCGGTAAGGTGCTCTGACAACTGATGCTTAAAGTTAGTGAGGGAGATAAGAGTCTCCAGCTTCAGAGATTTTTGCAATTTGTTCCAGTCATTGGCAGCAGAGAAGTGGAAGGAATGGCGGCCAAAGGAGGTGTTGGCTTTGGGGATGACCAGTGAGATATACCTGCTGGAGCGCAGACTACGGGTGGGTGCTGCTATGGTGACCAATGAGCTAAGATAAGGCGGGGATTTGCCTAGCAGTGATTTATAGATGGCCTGGAGCCAGTGGGTTTGACGACGAACATGTAGTGAGGACCAGCCAACAAGAGCGTACAGGTCATAGTGGTGGGTAGTGTATGGGGCTTTGGAGACAAAACGGATGGCACTGTGATAGACTACATCCAATTTGCTGAGTAGAGTGTTGGAGGCTATTTTGTAAATGACATCACCGAAGTCAAGGATCGGTAGGATAGTCAGTTTTACGAGGGCATGTTTGGCAGCATGAGTGAAGGAGGCTTTGTTGCGAAATAGGAAGCCGATTCTAGATTTAACTTTGGATTGGAGATTTTTTATGTGAGTCTGGAAGGAGAGTTTACAGTCTAACCAGAAACCTAGGTATTTGTAGTTCTCCACATACTCTAGGTCAGACCCATCGAGAGTAGTGATTCTAGTCGGGTGGGCGGGTGCCAGCAGCGTTCGATTGAAGAGCATGCATTTAGTTTTACTAGTGTTTAAGAGCAGTTGGAGGCTACTGAAGGATTGTTGTATGGCATTGAAGCTTGTTTGGAGGTTTGTTAACACAGTGTCCAATGAAGGGCCAGATGTATACAAAATGGTGTCGTCTGCGTAGAGGTGGATCTGAGAGTCACCAGCAGCAAGAGCGACATCATTGATATACACAGGGAAAAGAGTCGGCCCAAGAATTGAACCCTGTGGCACCCCCATAGAGACTGCCATAGGTCCAGACAACAGGCCCTCCGATTTGACACATTGAACTCTATCTGAGAAGTAGTTGGTGAACCAGGCGAAGCAGTCATTTGAGAAACCAAGGCTATTTAGTCTGCCAATAAGAATGCGGTGGTTGACAGAGTCGAAAGCCTTGGCCAGGTCGATGAAGACGGCTGCACAGTACTGTCTATTATCGATTGCGGTTATAATATCGTTTAGGACCTTGAGCGTGGCTGAAGTGCACCCATGACCAGCTCGGAAACCGGATTGCATAGCGGAGAATGTACGGCGGGATTCGAAATGGTCGGTGATCTGTTTGTTAACTTGGCTTTCAAATACTTTCGAAAGGCAGGGCAGGATGGATATAGGTCTGTAACGGTTTGGATCTAGAGTGTCACCCCCTTTGAAGAGGGGGATGACCGCGGCAGCTTTCCAATCTCTGGGGATCTCAGACGTTACGAAAGAGAGGTTGAACAGGCTAGTAATAGGGGTTGCGACAATTTTGGCGGCTAGTTTTAGAAAGAAAGGGTCCAGAATGTCTAGCCTAGCTGATTTGTAGGGGTCCAGATTTTGCAGCTCTTTCAGACAGCTGTTGATAAGTCATTGATAATAATCTGCCATTTTTTTCTAGTCGTTACATTAACATGTAAGGGGGGATCATAGCTATATAAGTTGTAAGTTGTTGTTATATCATATATTACGCTTTAATCAGTTGAATTAGTCATTCAACTTCAACCCTATAGGAATCCTGGATTTAGCTGTCAGACAGTTTTTTGTATAGAGATCTCAGAAATGCAGTGTAACTATGTAACATTTTGCGTCTCCTGTTACATGGTGAAAACAGTTTTCATGGGCTCACAAATCCAAAATAGAAAATGTGATTGAAAAATCGAATTCTTCTAACCGAAAGAGTCACCTTACCTTGATTCTTCAAACCTAACTCGATGCTGTTATTAACGGGGGTTCCTAAATAATTATGCGCAATACTTGTTGGAATGCGCATTTTGTTGTCGAGCTTTTTAATTACGCCGGCATATTTTCACACATCATATAATTTGATCCAGGAAGGAATTTTCAGAATGACAGCCAAGTGACGAACAGCTGTTTGCGATAGCACATGCGATGCAACAACAGCCAATCAGAATCTGTCACAAACCAGCAAACCAGCTAGCTCAATAGAGAACGCCTCAAGGGAAGACGTTGTGTGAAGGCTCACTTAGACATCAACTTATATTGCATTTCATTGAATTGAATTGGAGATCCATCACCACACCACAATTGGAGTATGACACATTCTTATTGAGATGATTATCAAAACCATATGTTTATATCCCCCTCTGTCTGTCTTTCTCTGGCGCCTCGGACAGGAACTATCTCTAGAACAAATGGGTGTGAACATTTCTTATTAGGACATGTGTTATATGTAACTCACAGTCTGACACCTATCTGCACCAGGAAAGATGATATTATAGAGCATGGTCATGATGATGTTGATCACAGCTCAACAAGGGGCCTACCGTATCCCCGGGGGCTTGTGTGTACCCAGCTGGCACCCTATTCCCGATTTAGTGCACTACTTAGTACACAACAAAATAGGGTGCCATTTTGGACGCAGACTCCATCACAGGCCCGTTGCCTGTCCTCTGTCACGTTTCACTAAACAGCACTGTCTCAATATATCTTTCCCAAAAACGTTGATGTATTTGTCTACAGGCGCAGAGTCAGACGTGTTGGATCCAGTAACTCAGCCAGGAACTCAGCCAGGAACACCTCAGCCAGGAACTCCTGAGCCAGGAACTGTAATAGTGAAGATATCATTATATAGTGACAAGAGAGGTAAAGCATAGACATCCAACGCTACCAAGGCTCAGAGTGGGAGAGGCCCCAACGCTACCATGGCTCAGAGTGGGAGAGGCCCCAACGCTACCATGGCTCAGAGTGGGAGAGGACCCAACGCTACCATGGCTCAGAGTGGGAGAGGACCCAACGCTACCATGGCTCAGAGTGGGAGAGGACCCAACGCTACCAAGGCTCAGAGTGGGAGAGGACCCAACGCTACCATGGCTCAGAGTGGGAGAGGACCCAACGCTACCATGGCTCAGAGTGGGAGAGGACCCAACGCTACCATGGCTCAGAGTGGGAGAGGACCCAACGCTACCATGGCTCAGAGTGGGAGAGGACCCAACGCTACCAAGGCTCAGAGTGGTAGAGGACCCAACGCTACCATGGCTCAGAGTGGGAGAAGACCCAATGCTACCAAGGCTCAGAGTGGTAGAGGACCCAACGCTACCATGGCTCAGAGTGGGAGAGGACCCAACGCTACCATGGCTCAGAGTGGGAGAGGACACAACGCTACCGTGGCTCAGAGTGGGAGAGGACCCAACGCTACCATGGCTCAGAGTGGGAGAGGACCCAACGCTACCATGGCGCAGAGTGGGAGAGGACCCAATGCTACCAAGGCTCAGAGTGGGAGAGGACCCAACGCTACCATGGCTCAAAGTGGGAGAGGACCCAACGCTACCATGGCTCAGAGTGGGAGAGGACCCAACGCAACCATGGCTCAGAGTGGGAGAGGACCCAAAGCTACCATGGCTCAGAGTGGGAGAGGACCCAACGCTACCATGGCTCAGAGTGGGAGAGGACCCAACGCTACCATGGCTCAGAGTGGGAGAGGACCCAACGCTACCATGGCTCAGAGTGGGAGAGGACCCAACGCTACCATGGCTCAGAGTGGGAGAGGACCCAACACTACCAAGGCTCAGAGTGGTAGAGGACCCAACGCTACCATGGCTCATAGTGGGAGAGGACCCAACGCTACCATGGCTCAGAGTGGGAGAGGACCCAAAGCTACCATGGCTCAGAGTGGGAGAGGACCCAACGCTACCATGGCTCAGAGTGGGAGAGGACCCAACGCTACCATGGCTCAGAGTGGGAGAGGACCCAACGCTACCATGGCTCAGAGTGGGAGAGGACCCAACGCTACCATGGCTCAGAGTGGGAGAGGACCCAACGCTACCATGGCTCAGAGTGGTAGAGGACCCAACGCTACCATGGCTCAGAGTGGGAAGGACCCAACGCTACCATGGCTCAGAGTGGGAGAGGACCCAACGCTACCATGGGTCAGAGTGGGAGAGGCCCCAACGCTACCATGGCTCAGAGTGGGAAGACCCAACGCTACCAGGCCCGAGTGGGAGAGGACCCAACGCTACCATGGCTCAGAGTGGGAGAGGACCCAACGCTACCATGGCTCAGAGTGGGAGAGGACCCAACGCAACCATGGCTCAGAGTGGGAGAGGACCCAACGCTACCATGATCAGAGTGGGAGAGGACCCACGCTACCATGGCTCAGAGTGGGTAGAGGACCCAACGCTACCATGGCTCAGAGTGGTAGAGGACCCAACGCTACCGTGGCTCAGAGTGGGAGAGGACCCAACGCTACCGTGGCTCAATGTGGGAGAGGACCAACGCTACCGTGGCTCATAGTGGGAGAGGACCCAACGCTACCATGGCTCAGAGTGGGAGAGGACCCAACGCTACCATGGCTCAGAGTGGGAGAGGACCCAACGCTACCATGGCTCAGAGTGGGAGAGGACCCAACGCTACCATGGCTCAGAGTGGGAGAGGACCCAACACTACCATGGCTCAGAGTGGGAGAGGACCCAACACTACCAAGGCTCAGAGTGGTAGAGGACCCAACGCTACCATGGCTCATAGTGGGAGAGGATTCAACGCTACCATGGCTCAGAGTGGGAGACGACCCAACGCTACCATGGCTCAGAGTGGGAGAGGCCCCAACGCTACCATGGCTCAGAGTGGGAGAGGACCCAACGCTACCATGGCTCAGAGTGGGAGAGGACCCAACGCTACCATGGCTCAGAGTGGGAGAGGATTCAACGCTACCATGGCTCAGAGTGGGAGAGGACCCAACGCTACCATGGCTCAGAGTGGGAGAGGACCCAACGCTACCATGGCTCAGAGTGGGAGAGGACACAACGCTACCATGGCGCAGAGTGGGAGAGGACCCAACGCTACCAAGGCTCAGAGTGGGAGAGGACCCAACGCTACCATGGCTCAGAGTAGGAGAGGACCCAACGCTACCATGGCTCAGAGTGGGAGAGGACCCAACGCTACCATGGCTCAGAGTGGGAGAGGACCCAACGCTACCATGGCTCAGAGTGGGAGAGGACCCAACGCTACCATGGCTCAGAGTGGGAGAGGACCCAACGCTACCATGGCTCAGAGTGGGAGAGGACCCAACGCTACCATGGCTCAGAGTGGGAGAGGACCCAACGCTACCATGGCTCAGAGTGGTAGAGGACCCAACGCTACCATGGCTCAGAGTGGGAGAGGATTCAACGCTACCATGGCTCAGAGTGGGAGACGACCCAACGCTACCATGGCTCAGAGTGGGAGAGGCCCCAACGCTACCATGGCTCAGAGTGGGAGAGGACCCAACGCTACCATGGCTCAGAGTGGGAGAGGACACAACGCTACCGTGGCTCAGAGTGGGAGAGGACCCAACGCTACCATGGCTCAGAGTGGGAGAGGACCCAACGCTACCATGGCTCAGAGTGGGAGAGGACCCAACGCTACCATGGCTCAGAGTGGGAGAGGCCCCAACGCTACCATGGCTCAGAGTGGGAGAGGACCCAACGCTACCATGGCTCATAGTGGGAGAGGACCCAACGCTACCATGGCTCAGAGTGGGAGAGGACCCAACGCTACCATGGCTCAGAGTGGGAGAGGACCCAACGCTACCATGGCTCAGAGTGGGAGAGGACCCAACGCTACCATGGCTCAGAGTGGGAGAGGACCCAACGCTACCATGGCTCAGAGTGGTAGAGGACCCAACGCTACCATGGCTCAGAGTGGGAGAGGACCCAACACTACCAAGGCTCAGAGTGGTAGAGGACCCAACGCTACCATGGCTCAGAGTAGGAGAGGACCCAACGCTACCATGGCTCAGAGTGGGAGAGGACCCAACGCTACCATGGCTCAGAGTGGGAGAGGACCCAACGCTACCATGGCTCAGAGTGGGAGAGGACCCAACTCTACCATGGCTCAGAGTGGGAGAGGACCCAACTCTACCATGGCTCAGAGTGGGAGAGGACCCAACGCTACCATGGCTCAGAGTGGGAGAGGACCCAACGCTACCATAGCTCAGAGTGGGAGAGGTCCCAACGCTACCATGGCTCAGAGTGGGAGAGGACCCAACGCTACCATGGCTCAGAGTAGGAGAGGACCCAACGCTACCATGGCTCAGAGTGGGAGAGGACCCAACGCTACCATGGCTCAGAGTGGGAGAGGACCCAACGCTACCATGGCTCAGAGTGGGAGAGGACCCAACGCTACCATGGCTCAGAGTGGGAGAGGACCCAACGCTACCATGGCTCAGAGTGGGAGAGGACCCAACGCAACCATGGCTCAGAGTGGGAGAGGACCCAACGCTACCATGGCTCAGAGTGGGAGAGGACCCAACGCTACCATGGCTCAGAGTGGGAGAGGACCCAACGCTACCATGGCTCAGAGTGGGAGAGCAGTGGAGTGGAGGGGGAGGTGTACACCCAGTTACATAAGGTTCCCTATATAAGCACCACTGTGTAGCCATTCTCTCCAGGCTTCCTATGGACCTTGGTCAAAAGTAGTGCACTATGTAGAGAATAGTGTGTCATTTGGGACGCAGCCAGGGTGTGTTCATATGCTAATCTTATCAGATGGTGCTGTGGCACAGCGGCTGCCTAGATGCCTCAACAACACCTGGGTTCAAATAGCATTGAAAATCTTTCAGAAACGTTGATTGTTTAGCTTTATCCTCCCTGGGGTGCCATTTATGTAGGGTTTGCACTTTTGGGGTTATTCCATTGGTTCTATTGTGCCAGGCAAGCTCAATCAAGCATGAGTAAAGTATTTGAGAGATTTCAAATTCTATTTCAACCCAGGTCTGTTCCAACGGAGTGAGGACTAAATGTTCAAAGGCTCTAATGTGCCATTTAATGTGGCATCCATAGCAGCTATATGGGACGCCTGCCAGGGAGTCTCGGACTGGGACTAGCCTATGAGATAACCACAGCAATGCAGCCCCAACGCAGCACCAAAAACAGAAATAGGCACCCAGTTAGTGTTAAAACATTTTCAGCGTGTCTCTGACTCAGTCTGTACATTCCTCCAGATAAGGACATAGCCCTAATAAAACGGCTGGGACCTAATTCGTAATTTGATCTTCCACTTAAAGGGGCAATCTGCGATTGATACATACATGTTTTACTTTTTAATTCATGATTTATACCGATTGATTCTGGAAGTATATAACTCATAAATACCTAATGAGCTTAGTTCAACTGTCGTACCACATCAGAAACCAAAATATAAGCTTGTTGTACTCTGTTTGTAAACAAATTACATGAAAAACGAACACCGTATAACCTCAAAACATATTTTCAAACTATCATGTTGATATCATGGATGGTCAGTCCTGGCATCCGTAGCTCTGTTTTTTGAATTTGAGAGTGGTTACATTTCTCCAGCCAAATTGCTCCACTTTTTACTGAAACAGTGGCCACTTTGAAGACCAATAAATCTGTTCGTCGTCTTGCCTTGCATGGTTATTATAAACCCATAAAGGAACCACCTGATTCAGGAATGACGGCTTCATCATAACAATGTCTAAATGTGTATGGACAGCGTGTGCTTTTAAAATCAACAGTGCTTGCTTCCTGTCATACCCGTCCATCCATATGTGTTTCTCTGTTTTTAAGATGACACTAATGGTTTTGCCTCACACTTTTTCCCCTCTGTGTGTCTGCCTGCCGGTGTGACTGCCTGCCAAGCTCTCTCCCTCTGTGTGTCTGCCTGCCGGTGTGTCTGCCTGCCGGTGTGACTGCCTGCCGGTGTGACTGCCTGCCGGTGTGTCTGCCTGCCGGTGTGACTGCCTGCCGGTGTGTCTGCCTGCCGGTGTGACTGCCTGCCGGTGTGACTGCCTGCCAAGCTCTCTCCCTCTGTGTGTGTGAGAGTCACTCTGTCTCTCTCTCTCTGGAACAGCTGGGAATGTTGTTTGTTGATCTTTCTGGTAACTGCTAGTCTGTCTGCTGCTCAGTACTGCTAGTCTATCTGCTGCTCAGTACTGGTAGTCTATCTGCTGCTCAGTACTGCTAGTCTATCTGCTGCTCAGTACTGCTAGTCTATCTGCTGCTCAGTACTGCTAGTCTATCTGCTGCTCAGTACTGCTAGTCTATCTGCTGCTCAGTACTGCTAGTATATCTGCTGCTCAGTACTGCTAGTATATCTGCTGCTCAGTACTGCTAGTCTGTCTGCTGCTCAGTACTGCTAGTCTATCTGCTGCTCAGTACTGCTAGTCTATCTACTGCTCAGTACTGCTAGTCTATCTGCTGCTTAGTACTGCTAGTCTATCGGCTGTGCAATACTGCTAGTCTATCTGCTGCTCAGTACTGCTAGTCTATCTGCTGCTTAGTACTGCTAGTCTATCGGCTGTTCAGTACTGCTAGTCTATCTGCTGCTCAGTACTGCTAGTCTATCTGCTGCTCAGTACTGCTAGTCTATCAGCTGTTCAGTACTGCTAGTCTATCGGCTGCTCAGTACTGCTAGTCTATCTGCTGCTCAGTACTGCTAGTCTATCTGCTGTTCAGTACTGCTAGTCTATCTGCTGCTCAGTACTGCTAGTCTATCTGCTGCTCAGTACTGCTAGTCTATCTGCTGCTCAGTACTGCTAGTCTATCTGCTGCTTAGTACTGCTAGTCTATCTGCTGCTCAGTACTGGTAGTCTATCTGCTGCTCACTACTGCTAGTCTATCGGCTGCTCAGTACTGCTAGTCTATCAGCTGCTCAGTACTGCTAGTATATCTGCTGCTCAGTACTGCTAGTCTATCTGCTGCTCAGTACTGCTAGTCTATCTGCTGCTCAGTACTGCTAGTCTATCTGCTGCTCAGTACTGCTAGTCTATCTGCTGCTCAGTACTGCTAGTATATCTGCTGCTCAGTACTGCTAGTATATCTGCTGCTCAGTACTGCTAGTCTGTCTGCTGCTCAGTACTGCTAGTCTATCTGCTGCTCAGTACTGCTAGTCTATCTGCTGCTCAGTACTGCTAGTCTATCTGCTGCTTAGTACTGCTAGTCTATCGGCGGTTCAGTACTGCTAGTCTATCTGCTGCTCAGTACTGCTAGTCTATCTGCTGCTTAGTACTGCTAGTCTATCGGCTGTTCAGTACTGCTAGTCTATCTGCTGCTCAGTACTGCTAGTCTATCTGCTGCTCAGTACTGCTAGTCTATCAGCTGTTCAGTACTGCTAGTCTACCGGCTGCTTAGTACTGGTAGTCTGACTGCTGCTCAGTACTGCTAGTCTATCTGCTGCTCAGTACTGCTAGTCTATCTGCTGCTCAGTACTGCTAGTCTATCTGCTGCTCAGTACTGCTAGTCTATCAGCTGTTCAGTACTGCTAGTCTATCTGCTGCTCAGTACTGCTAGTCTAATCTGCTGCTCAGTACTGCTAGTCTATCGGCTGTTCAGTACTGCTAGTCTATCAGCTGCTCAGTACTGCTAGTCTATCAGCTGCTTAGTACTGCTAGTCTATCAGCTGCTTAGTACTGCTAGTCTATCTGCTGCTTAGTATTGCTAGTATATCTGCTGCGCAGTACTGCTAGTCTATCTGCTGCTTAGTACTGCTAGTCTATCTGCTGCTCAGTACTGCTAGTCTATCTGCTGCTCAGTACTGCTAGTCTATCTGCTGCTCAGTACTGCTAGTCTATCTGCTGCTTAGTACTGCTAGTCTATCTGCTGCTCAGTACTGCTAGTCTATCTGCTGCTCAGTACTGCTAGTCTATCTGCTGCTCAGTACTGCTAGTCTAATCTGCTGTTCAGTACTGCTAGTCTATCAGCTGCTTAGTACTGCTAGTCTATCAGCTGCTTAGTACTGCTAGTCTATCTGCTGCTTAGTATTGCTAGTATATCTGCTGTGCAGTACTGCTATTCTATCTGCTGCTCAGTACTGCTAGTCTATCTGCTGCTCAGTACTGCTAGTCTAATCTGCTGCTCAGTACTGCTAGTCTATCGGCTGTTCAGTACTGCTAGTCTATCAGCTGCTCAGTACTGCTAGTCTATCAGCTTAACTCTAGTACTGTAGTCTATCTGTGCTGCTAGTACTGCTAGTCTATCTGCTGCTCAGTATGCTAGTTATCTGCTGTCAGTACTGCTAGTCTATCTGCTGTCAGTACTGCTAGTCTATCAGCTGCTCAGTACTGCTAGTCTAATCGCTGCTTAGTACTGCTAGTCTATCAGCTGCTAGTACTGCTAGTCTATCTGCTGCTTAGTATGCTAGTCTATCTGCTGCTTAGTATTTCTAGTCTATCTGCTAGTATGCTAGTTATCTCTGCTCAGTATGTAGTCTATCTGCTGCTCAGTACTGCTAGTCTATCTGCTGCTAGTACTGCTAGTCTATCTGCTGCTCAGTACTGCTAGTCTATCTGCTGCTCAGTACTGCTAGTCTAAACTGCTGCTCAGTACTGCTAGTCTATCTGCTGTTCAGTACTGCTATCTATTGTGCTTCTGCTGTCTATGCTTCAGTACTGCTAGTCTAATCTGCTGCTCAGTACTGCTAGTCTATCTGCTGCTCAGTACTCTAGTCTATCTGCTGCTAAGTACTGCTAGTCTATCGGCTGTTCAGTACTGCTAGTCTATCTGCTGCTCAGTACTGCTAGTCTATCTGCTGCTTAGTACTGCTAGTCTATCGGCTGTTCAGTACTGCTATTCTATCTGCTGCTTAGTACTGCTAGTCTATCTGCTGCTCAGTACTGGTAGTCTATCTGCTGCTAACTACAGCTAGTCTATCGGCTGCTCAGTACTGCTAGTCTATCAGCTGCTCAGTACTGCTAGTCTATCTGCTGCTCAGTACTGCTAGTCTATCTGCTGCTCAGTACTGCTAGTCTATCTGCTGCTTAGTACTGCTAGTCTATCTGCTGCTCAGTACTGCTAGTATATCTGCTGCTTAGTACTGCTAGTCTATCTGCTGCTCAGTACTGCTAGTCTATCTGCTGCTTAGTACTGCTTGTCTATCTGCTGCTCAGTACTGCTAGTCTATCTGCTGCTCAGTACTGCTAGTCTATCTGCTGCTCAGTACTGCTAGTCTATCTGCTGCTCACTACTGCTAGTCTGTCTGCTGCTTAGTACTGCTAGTCTATCTGCTGCTCAGTACTGCTAGTCTATCTGCTGCTCAGTACTGCTAGTCTATCGGCTGCTCAGTACTGCTAGTCTATCAGCTGCTCAGTACTGCTGGTCTATCTGCTGCTCAGTACTGCTAGTCTATCAGCTGTTCAGTACTGCTAGTCTATCGGCTGTTCAGTACTCCTCGAAGTAGGCCCTACCACCCACTAAAGTTGAGACCCTGTTGACAGATCCATCAAAGAGTTCATATTGATTGTCTTTCTGAAGAGTCGATGGCATACATTTTTACATTTGAGTCACTTACAGTGCG